TGCCATGCAGAAATACTTGAGCTAGTTTGGGTAGGAGAAAAAGAATCACCACATTAGTGTGGCAGTCTGACTGAGACTGCAGCTGGTGCTTAAGTAAATCTTCATACAACCCTGTATAGAACTGGCCAGATTCCCCCTCCCCACCCCACTTGACTAACCATGGTTTTGATAAAGGAAAAAATTAGCCTTTTCAGCCAGTTGCAAAGTGATCTCTGCTTCAGCAGTGGCCAGCCTGCAGCACAGGTGTCACAAGAGGCACAGGCAGCTTTTGTGGGTGGCACACAGCAGTAGGACAGAAAGCAGAGCAGATCAGTCAGGGAGTGTCGAGGTAGGAAGTAGAGTAGCAGACTGGGCAAGGAAGAGGATCAGAATGGCAAGTAGAGGGTGCCTGGCTAATTGGTGGCATACCTGCCAAAAAAGTTGCTCCCCCCCCGACACACACTGTCTTAGACCATGCTTTGACCCAGTTTTAACATGCTTTGTTAGCTAAGAGAACTCTTTACCATGAACGAGCTTAGCACGTCTCAGGGTCTTGAATCAAGGCAAGTGGGTACCTCATTTCTCTCGTTTAGAATGGAACGTACCACTTTGCTTGGCATCTACAGCATATTCTTTGGGTATCAAAGCCTAAAGGGTAGTTTTTGGGGAGAGGAGAAGTTGGAGGAGTGTAACCAGTCACTTTAGTGATTCTCAAACTATAGTATCATTAGATCCTTTTAAGGATGCCAACACTATTAGCACTGCTGTGTGCGCGCAACTGTGTACATGTGACTCACAAGATAAATCCAGTGATTTCAAATAGGAATTTAGTGTCAAAAATATTCTGACCTCTTGTGGTCTCTCTCAGTTTGAGAACTCAGTTATTTTTCTGTTGTCAAAAAATGAGTCAAAGCTAAGAGCTGGCATTTTTCTGAAAACTTTAGAGAATTACTACTTTAGAGGATTAAAATGACTGGTGCAGAAGTTACAACCATGCTCTTGGCTGCTGCTTTGGAATTAATAGTGTTTGAACAGGACATCTGTACTCCTAGACAATCACTACTGTGACATGAAGACTGCAACTTGTGCACATCTTGCCCATCACTGAAAAAACCCCTGGGTCTTGAGTAGCTCACTCGCCTTGCATACCCTGACTAGCACCAGCTTCCCCGCTACAAAGAAACATCCTTTCTTTATGGAAATGGGTAAAGTTAACTTACTTAGAAGCTTAAATGTAACATTCAGATGGAAAGTAGAGAGACTGTAGGGGGAAGAGAGGGGCAGGGAAAAAAACACCTACTTTTCTACAATTTCTAAAGCTGGCCCCCAAACTGAAATGAGGCTACAGCCTTTTATTAAGAGAAAGAGGGATAGTGTACTGAATTAATTAGAAAGTACAAAATCTAAAGGATTGCACCTACAAGTCTTTGGGTGGTTGTGGGGGGGTCAGAGAAGTTCTTAGAAGGAAAAATGGGGTTAGTGAAGGCAGAAAGAGCAACTGAATAAATCCCCTTTCTGAAGAGACCTAGTTAAAAAGAAAGAGGTTTACTTGTTGCTATTTGCACCTGATGGTACACAGAGAATTATATTCTTCAACTGATCTTGTTGCTTAGCATGAAGGGAGTGGACAATCATGGGTCAAGTCTAGTCTGCCCATACCGGGTTGGAGATATTTGTTTGCCCAGATAAATGCGAATGACCTAGAATCCCATTCTCAGGAGTATTCAGTAGCAAGTTCTCCAGAATACCTTTGGGTGTTAAATTTTCACTTTGGTGAAAAAGGAGGGAAAGGTTTTGCCAGACATTCCCCATAGGCTTCATGTACTCCTTATACTTCAGTGATCTCTAAGCACTTCGGGAAAGTTCCCTACAAATAGTGCACATGTACACAAAAGGGAAACTACACTAGTTCCCTTGCTCTGTTTAGGTCCATGCCATCTTTTCAGTGGGGATGGCAAAGGTATGGCCCGTGGAGACATGTCATTTGGCCTGTGGGGCTACTTGGGGGTGGGAATTTGAGTCACGGCCCTCTGCCAGAAGTCCAGGGAACAGAGCCTCACTGGGAATGTGCACTGGGGGGAAAGGGTGTGCAAGTGACTGCTGCATTAGCCCCTTGGCTACTACTGACACTTACCCCACCATAGCCACCAGGTCCAGGTCCAGCTTCAGCCAGCAAGGAACTCAGGACAGAAGCCCTGCAGCTTAGATGCAGGTGGAGGATACATGAGGTTGACAGTCTGCTTCAAACAGTACAGTTGCAGAGACTGAGAGAATATATTTTCTTATAACAAAGTCAGTTACTCAAAGCTGTACGTAGGTACCCCAGCAAAAATAACCCCAAATTGTAGCCACCCCTAAAATAAGCATATGTAAAAGTCCAGTGCAATTGAGCATTTTAGGACAGATACTTAAAACTGCATAACAAGAGAATACTTGTTTCACTGCAGTAGCCGTAACACCTATCCCTTGAAGTAACTAAGGCTTAATAGGGGGAAGGTTTCAATAGTATATTCTGTGGTGTCAGGTACATTGCACCATTCAACTTGCTGAACTAGGGAATCAACAAGCAGAAGCAAAACTACTCTTGTACTTGTCACCACTTTCTAGTGGTATAAACAGAAACGTTACCATGATTAAGCATCTTGCTTGTTTCAGCCAACAAAAGAGACATTTGCCAACATCTTGGGCAGTAGCTACTTAGCAAGTGGCAGTACCCCCATTTCTTGAGCAACACAAGTGCTTTTTCCCAGACCATCCTGTGATACTGTTTGCTATCAAGTAATAAGAGCAAACAAATTCATATTCTTTCACATTTTCAGAAAAGCTTTGATATTGGTTCCTGTTGCCAACATGCTGCTTTGTTAGGCTTCTTGTTTAGGGAGCCCCTGTTCTGTTTTCTTGTTTAATGATGTTTGGTCAGGCTGTCAAATGCTCTAGGCATTAGCACTTTAATCAAAGCTGTTAAATGTTTTTACTGGCAGATGTCAGTATGCACACAGACAGCTTCCGCCTGTGGTTAAGGCATGGAGCTTTGGAAAAGGTAGACCATTTATTACAGCTAAATCAAAATTGCTCTTGCCATACCCAGGAGCTGAAGGGTAACAATTGACATTTCCTGTATAGTGTTTAACACTTAATCAACTGATGAAATGTAGTAACTTTCTAATGTTTTGTGTCACTCATGCAAAACAAGCCACTGTGAACTGTTCTCTAATGCAGGCCAACAACAAAAGCCATAGAAACGCACACACAGGCGTTAGATGTTTGTACTGATATATTCCAGGTTTGTGTGGTTTTTACATTTATACAGTTTACATTTTGCTTGACCCATAAATAACACGTGTAAGATTAAGAGGGCCATAGTTAGAGAGTATTTACACAGCCCCACCATGCATACAGAGCTTTTAATATTTAAGAGAAAATTATACTTTGGCTCACTAAATAATGTCATTTTGGGTGTTTCTAAACTTAAAACCCTGACTAAAAGACAAGCAATTTTTTTCATCCATAATGCTGCTGTTAAACCCCTAATAAAATCTAGTTTTGTACTATAATAAGTTTCTTGGAATTCAGGGATATAAAAATAATCAGCTTTTAAATCTTAACTATACAATATGTACATTAATATTTGCACTGTTAAATTATGAATACACTTTTAGTCTATGAAATACTACATTATAAATATTTATAATTGCCTCTAGTACACTTACAAAACCTGGATAATGGGTTTCAAAAGATATGTATCTTGGACTTAGTTTTTTAAATCCTTACACAAATGTTCACTGTCCGGCAAGTAGTTTTGTTTATTTAAAATGGGGTTACTTGCAAGAGTAAGGGCTTCCAACATTAGATCACAACTGTCTCTTCAATGTTATGGGGGCAGTGGGGGCAATACAGCATGGTACTAAATATCAACTGCAGTGATGTGCACCCCTCCCCAAATAAAGCCAAACCAGTCCAGTTCTAAAACAGCTACATTTTCAATACTTACGTTATTTTAATAGTTTCAATATTTAGCTAACTAAAAGGTGATTGTATGGATGGAATTCTTATCTTTTAAAAAAGCGAGCTACAAGATAAATGTTTTGGCCATCTACTGCTGCTTTAGTGTACAGGCAGTCCTCAGACCTACAACACAACTGGTTCCTGAAAACTGCGTCTTAAGTCTAAACGTTGCAACTCGGAACTGCTTTTCCCATAGGAAACAACATTATAAATGGGGGATTGGTTCCTGAATCAAGGCCCTACACCTTATTTTCACCAAAAATAACCCAGAATTGTGTACTCAATCAATTATAGATGAGTAATATAGCTACATTAATGTATTTGTATTGTAAACAGCAATCATATTGATTTGGAACAACTTCTTTGAGGTGACTTTTCTGGACATTTTGAAGGCCTCTTGGTTGGAGCCTTCTCAGGGAGTCTTGCCTGCAGGTTTTCCTGGAGTCTTGTCTGCTTTCTTAAAGGAAGTGTCCAAGGAAGTTTGGATGAATGATGGTTCTCCAGGGAGATGGGTGATGCAGCGAACTTGTTCCCTGGCATGGCTTGGCGTCAGATCGAGCATTGTAAAGTCAAAACGGATGTCAAAGTTGAAACAGGGTGTCAATTTATAACTGTTGTAAGTGTGAAATGTTGTAACTCGAAACATTGCAAGTCGAGGACTGCCTGTATATGAAGATGGCTGCAGCTATTTCTACACTCAGGTTTGGGTTTGCATCTTTTTACCGAAGTATTCTTTAGACGAGTAGCACACTCAGAGTATGAAAGTTGTACATGAGATTCAAATACAACAAGAGATTAAAATTCCAGTTTCTAGAGACAGAGGGACCTCTAGTGAAAGAAGTCAGGGTGTGACTTTTGATCTCAGGAGTGTGGGTGTTTCACTCCAAGGAAAAAGCCCAAAAAGATAAAAGCCATCTGTATACGTAAAGCAACAATAAAGGACAAATAATGACTCTACAGTTCATTCATGTTATTGCACCCTCTTCTCAAATGGACTGACATGCTAGTCACCCAAGTTTAAATGTCCACATAGTGTCTGTAATAAAAAATGCAGTAACAGAGTAGAACAGCTACACCTTATTGGGTAAACTTGGCAAGTTTAACTCTTATCTGGAGAAACAATGTTTCTGAATGTTAGTTTTACATTGTAAACACCAGTAGTTATCATTTACATTGGCAAAGCATTAACAACTTCAACAACTTGCTTAGGCACAATTTAAAAAAATGGTTCAGATAAGTAACTACAAAGTTGTTCTTACACTGTTAAACATAAGACATTAAGAAATTATGCAGTTTTTGCCTTTATGTCCCTTTTTCTTCTTTGATTTGGTTGTCCTTTGCCCAAACTGAGAACTGGACAGTGCAGTAGTTGGACTAGAAAGATCATCTGTATAGTATGGATATCTTAATGAACGTGGCTGTGGTATTGGTTGTCCTAGAAAATATCCTTCCTCTTCAGAGTCAGATGAAGATGATGATGAAGTTGAACACCAGGAATCATCTTCATCACCATATAGTCCAAAAAATTTATCAACCACCTGGTTTCGCAGCGCATAATCAGAAGTAGCATGGGTATACTGTCCATACAGCTCTGCATTTTGAATATATGCCTGAATCTGATGTGGGCTTTTATTTTGGATAAATTTGTCATGATCCTGAGGAGAGTAAAACTGAAGTCTCTCTTTTGGTGAGCATCTTCTTTCTGTAGCCAGGTGAAGTGCATTGTCAGAACGAGACTTTCTACTTCTCCTGCGACGACGCTGATGGCGGTGTCCACGTTCCTCAAAATGGTAAACACGCCTACGAGTTCTCTCACTCATTGGAGGCTGACGAATTTCAACACTTTCATAGTTTCCATTGTCGATAACATCATCTGAAAATTTTACCTGTTGTGGTCTAGACTGGGATTTGGATCTTCTAAGTACAGGCATATGCACTGGCTTTTCCTCTGGCAATATCATCTTCTCTTGACACAATTCTGAACTTAAACTTTTCAAAGACTCTGCACTCCTATGGAGCATTGAAGAATTCAGGGTTCCCATATTACTCATTTTCTCACATTCCTCAGCTTCCAGCTCTTGGAAGGTTTGCAAAGAATATAAAGATGGCCGTGGCTTGCCTTCATCCACAGAAGCCCCTGGGGGAAAAAGCCAGTTAAAATATATTTTATATAGAAGTTGTAATGAGGCATCTTGACAATTTTTTTTTCAAGTTTGAATAAAGATTTATTGAGTAAACAGGGCTTATGATAGAATGTGTGATTTAAAAGATTGACTACACCAAGAAAAATATTCTTGTCTTTTGTTCATTTGATGTATAGATAAGCCCTGAAATGTATGGTTTGGGGTTTTTTTAAAAATCAAAAGTTTAGATCTTGACTAATATTACTGGAGAACATAAGGGTCAGCATAAAGATGTAAAGATGTCAACAGTGTGGAACAATTTGAAAGGGATGGGATAAGATTTTTTTTTTTAAGTTAGCCTGCAAAACTATTTTTAAACATTTGAATTTAAATGTTTAGTGACTTTTTAAGGATGCCTTTACAAAAGATGCAACAACATTTTCAGTTTAGGACTAATGACACATTACGTATTCCCAATAATTCTTCCAAAGCAAACTAGAAAATACAAAGCTGGTCTTCTGCATATTGTTAAAATGCTGGGCGGGGGGAGAGTAAGGGGGAGGAGGGGGGATTTTAGCTGGAGATAAAGATAAAGTGGACAGGAACCATTTTTTTTTTAAAAAGATCACTCACTTTCATCTCTTACTACACATACAAGCAAAAATCCCAATTTCACAAAATTGCTTTTAGGTTCTATAACCCAGAGGGTTTCATTTTCATATTTAGCAAGCAGATTTGTTGCACATTGATGCAGTTTTTTTTCCCCTCATGTGAACTGGTAGGATTAGATAACAAGGAACTGCCTTGAGCTAGTTTATAACATTGCTGCTACTACCACATGGTTCAGGGTTTGGGGTTTCTCTTGCAAGTATAAGGAAATAACAAAACCCTCCAATCTTAGTGTCAGGTACATACATACACTTTTTTCCAATCAGCTTCCATGAGGCAGGAGGCATATGACTCAGGGATAAATTTGGCATTTGTAAAAACTTAATTTAAAATGCCTTTGGAATACTGCATTCACCAGAATCCAAGATGACAATGAATTTAAGACAACTCCCCAATCAGTTAGATTTTCCATACACGGAAAAATGTATAAATGTTATAAATTTTCCATGTATAGAATCTAATTACTGGGGGGTTGTGTTAAATGTGCCCCCTGCCCCCCAATGCAGCAAGGAAAGCAGTGGCAGGGCTAGGCAGTGGGGGAATCAAGCAGCCTGCCCCTTGCCCCACTCCCAACTTGCTTTCTCTGCTTCCCACACCCTTCCCCCCCCAATCCCAGCCTGGCCCAGTATCAGCAGCAGCAATGGCGGCAACCGGTCTGGGCTGCAGCAGGGGTGTGAGGCTGTGGGGGAGGGAGGGAGAAGAGAGGCAGGGGACAGAGGCAATGGCGGGGCAGGCAGCAGTTGTGGCTCCGGGCCCAACCTGCATGTGCCATCCCCTGCCTTGTACTCAAATCCAAGACACAGGGCCTTCCCCTCCTCCCATGTTTAAATGGGGGCAGAACCTTGGCTTGCATTTGAGTAGGTATAGTAATTTAAAGAAATAACCATGTGAGGAATTAACACCCACTGATCCCTTTCCTGGTTCACCTGCAGAACAAAGCACTTAGTTTTTCGTTATGAAGTTACCTGTTATATTAGACAAAGCCAATGAATCCATTGAATCACGGACACTTTGTTCTGGTTGTTTCAGATCTGACAGACATTCCAATGAGCCTTTGTACCACTGTGTCTGATCATGACTGTATCCTGAAGCCCCATGTTCCATGTCCAATTCTTGAATTTTTCTGCTGCTGGCAGGGCCTGGATGGCTGCCGTAGGCAGAATCACCCAAGCCATCTTGTGATTGGGTCCAGTACATGTCTGACTGATATTTTTTGCTTGCCAGGCTTTGATTTTTTTTTTTCAGTTCAGACTTGCTTTTGGCCATGCTATCAGAAATCCAGTGTTCACTTGATCTGATGTCTACTTCACTGGGCTGCTGGAAGAGGCCTTTATCACCAAACTTTATAAGTAGTTGAGTCATATAGTCTTCATGCTCAGCCCACTCTTCAGGATCTTCAGGCATTTCTTGTTCTACTCGTCCTTTCCAGAAGTCTTCATTAACAAAACTTGCCCCGTGCCTTGAAAGGCTTAAGTCATCCAGCTTGCGAGAAAGAGTATCATCTGCATTGCTAGAAAGACCAGGAAATTTGTAATTCAGTGCTGGTGACAGTAAAAGAGATTGTCTACACTGGTCAGCTGACCGACTGCTCTTTCCCATGCGAACGCTTCTTCTAGAGTCCCTTGATCGGGCAGATTGAAAGGCAGAGTCAGAGGAATCAGAGGCATGAACATCTTCTCCCAAACTACAGGTTTTTGAACAGTAAATTTGTCCTTGCTTGGGAAGGAAAGGACAACCCAGTAGAGAGGTTTTGCACTGAGCACAAGAAAAGCAGGTCTCTGTAGCGTGCCAGTGCTGTCCATCGTAAGTCATCTGAGCATGGTCAACACCTGGTAGAGACAAAACAGTTATTAAAGTCATGACTAAAATAGTCATGCATTAAAATAACCACAACATTTTGACTAAGAAATTAGCATATTTATGCAGTTCAGCTACCTCAAGCAATATAGTAAAACCTATCTAACATGGATCTGTAAAAGCTGGAAACCTACTCAAGCTGAAATATTTCTACAGTCCTGGCATTCCTTATGGGGAATCGTGTATAGTTTTGTCTGTATAAACCAGAAATTGTCTGACATGGAAAGGAAATCTGGGGTCTGTTAGTAGAACGACCCTGTAAGAATGATGCAAAGTAATTACCTATCGTGTGTATGTCCATGGTCTAAGTGCAGCAGAGGGTCTAGGAAGCTTCCCTGTAGGTCAGGAACCTGTCTAAAACTGGAACTTTTTCTGAGTCCTGTGAGATTCCAATCTTAACCAACTTTCACAGTACTGAAGAAAGATATATTTACCTATGTGTTCCCCACAGGTCTCACAGTACTCTGCATAAAGAGATTCAAAACAGCTACAACAGAATGGGCGTCCATCCTTCATTATGTATCTTTGTCCTCCAAGGATAGTTTCACACTCGAGACAACAAAAATGCTTCATGTGCCAATGGCGACCCTCAGCTTCTGTGCACTCATCCGCAAAGATGATCTTACAGGATAAAAGTAAACTTTTAGGCAAGCATCCAAGCACACTGTTCTTTGTATCAAAAAGGGAAAGTACCCATTCTGTGTAGGTAACAGACTGCCATTTAATACTTTTACCAATTCTATTTCAGTGTTCAGTATTAATGAAAGAACAAAACATTAATATAATTAAAGCAAATGCATGTCAGCTTTATGACCATCCATAAATAACAATTTAAAATAATAAATAACATTTTAAATAATTTAAATGCTGTAAAGTAATACATACTAATTTAAAACACGTCTGTTTTATATAAAATGAAGCCAAGATCAAAATAATTTGAACAATGAATAAGATGGTCTCTGTTAAAAAATCCTAGAGTAATTTTGTACAAGTTTTCTTTAGAATCAAAACCAAAGAGTTGAAGCAAATCTCAGATATGCAAGCAGGCTCTTCATACATTCAGTTCTGGCACTTGTAGAATAGCCAATTTTACAAGATACATTGGGATGCTGGAGTAGTGGTCGATATCTACATATTCCAGCCCATGCAGCCTATGGGTATCCATTTAAAAAAATCCTAATATTTTAATTGGGTAAGTAATATGGCAGGTTGTTATCCTGCTAATGGTGGGTTCTGTGAACATAGGTGTATTTACCTCATCACAGGCTGAGCAACGAGGCTTGAGAAGTTCAGCATGATGTCTACCACAATGAATTTTTCCATTTTGGTAGAAGTAGATTAGGTCAACTAGCAGCTCATTGCATGTAGAGCATGCAAAACAAGATGGATGCCAACATACTCCAGGTCCAGCTCTTGAAGCAAAAACAGCAACTTCTCCTCCATTTACTTTTGTGCCACACTGCAAACATAAAAAAACCCCAGAAAACCTTTAAACACTTTCCACTGCAGGAATACCACCATTGGGTACTTCTTCACAGTAGTATTAAAACCGCATACACTGACATTTATTCCATTTTTTTTGTCAAAAAGGGAACAAATACTTTTGGATTATACATAGTTTTCCTGAAAAACTAAGTTTTACTATTCATACTAGCTAGGTGTTTTAAAACAAACTTTCATCGAAAATTGTTTGGTTATATTCACACCAGTGGTTTTGTGCAACTGATTCACATCAATATAGATGACAGACCATTCTGACTTTGGAACAAGTCATTTTCTTTTTTGTGCCCATATAGAATTTTATTAATATTCCATAATTTCTCTTTGAGGCCCACCAAGTAGAGATCAAGACAGACTGTATTAACTATCAAGCATGTTTAAGATCAGTGGTATTAATACAGCTAGATTCCTTATGGTAATAAAATTACCTGTTCACAAACTGCATGCATTAGTGCTCTTGAGAGTAGTTTAATAGTGCCTCTCCCCAATGCCTCCTTCTTACGCTGAGCACTAAACATCAGCAGTTCCTTCTTTTCTTCTTCACTTAAAGACTGACAATATCTGACCTTCAACAGAAGACATGCAGTACATATTTTAGATACTAAGCTATTTCCCATTTACATTCTGTTAATTACTAAATATAAATTTAAGAACAATGTCCCTATTAAATGTACCAAGAAGATTTTCCTAACTTTTCTTAAAATGCAAACGGTAGGAAAAAGGAAGTCTTTCACATGTTACAGTACAAAATAAGTGTGAAGATACATTTTGTGTTAAAGATTAACTAGCTAAATTATAAATAGCTGAATGGCATATTAAACTGTTGCTGTCTAGAGTTCTGCATAGTGATTTATGTTAAACTATGTTTGTTAATGGATTTAAAGAATGCTAGCCACACTACATATTGCAGTATGGACACCTAAGCACTGATCTTCTTTCTACAAGGGGTTTATTTGTTACTTCCGCTTCTACCGCAAATGACACAGAATATCTAAGCCCTCAAACCTTTGTCACAAAGCATCCTTTCTATGTGCTACAGTAGAATCTCAGGAATTTGCAGGTTCCTGGTAATTGGTGGGTGGTTGCAAACACTATAAAACCAACTTCTGTTAAGTTTATTGCACTGACACCAACTTTCTTAGCAAGAAAAGGCTATGTCCAGCTAGACAGCTCTTGTCTGAGAAGAACCAAAATGGACAAGTAAAAGAACGGATTCAGCAGTGTACATACACACTATGCTGACTTCTACAGGTTAGATAACATTGCCTGTGCTGTTTTTGGCTAAGTAACAAATTACCAGTAAGATAATCAAGCAGTTGGTAGTACAGAAGCATGCCCTGAGTTAAATACCATATTTACCTCATTATCATGGGGTGGCAGCTGATATAGAAGCTGTTTAATTCTGTATTTCTCTCCAGGGCTGTTAATGTAAGGGACCTTCTCTTCTGGCAAACAGGCAAAATACAGCTGGACCTGATGAGGAAGTATTAGGAATTCAGAACAGAGATCCACATGAGCAAACACTGTAAACGTCTTTCAGCAGGTGCCCTATCTTAAGTCTGATTTACAGAGGAACCAGGATGTGTTACATCAGGCCCATGATAGGATTTGCTTTCTTCTAGGTAACGGAAGGACCAGATGAGCTAACTCAGCAGAACTGGATTGCCTCCAATATAACTAGCACCCAGCTGCTGAATTGCTTTTCTGGAATGCAATTTGCAGTCACAATTAGAGTATCATAAATTATGCACGACTCCCACCCACTTCAGGGCTGGTCAACAAGACTGTTAAAATTCCAAATTTCTCTCTACTGTTTACCACACAATTCATGAAGGTGTCCAGAAATCAGCTAGCTTAATTTGCTCTGTGGATTCTGCATGATGCTGAGACAAAAGTGGCTTTGTAATCAGGTTCATCCTAAACATCAGTTTTCATTGCTTCTACATGGGCTTTTGTTAAGACTCATGGGAGGAGGTTGGACTTAGCCACATTTCAAACAGGTACAGAGTTACTTGACGTATTCATGTTTTTTGTGTGCTTGATCCACACACGCACACTTTTATAAAAAGTATTTTCAAACTAGCTTTCATTTTATCAGTAGAAAACTTCTGACAGGAAAACTGAGTGCTGTGACAAAGACCAATGGCAAAAAAAAGGTGTGTGTGGAACAGCTTCAGTTTTATTTCCTGTGCAGTTTCCAGTTTGTCATAAGGCATGGGGCCGTAAATAAGATCTGACTATTGGCAATCTGGATGGCAAGCAACATTAATTTAAAGTCAACAGCTTACAAGGTGTGTTAAGATATATTTAGAAGAGAATCAGTAGTCAGTTACTTTCTTCAAGTAGTAATCAAAATTAAATGGAAAAAGTAGTATAAAGCATTAAAAGTGCTTAAAAATGTCCAATTTCAATACAGTAAACTTTAACTCAACTCATCATTGAGTCTGTTTACAAGAAACTGTAGGAACAGAAGCCAATGGAAAACCTAAAAGGCGACTGAGCATTATATTTGTCTTACAGCTTATTACATGGTTATCAAAACCACTGACATCTTATTCTGTATGAAAAATACTTTTAAGTCTGTGAAACCCAAGGAAAAATTTACTACATTTCTCTTAAAAAGTTTAGAAGTAGAGAGAAGGCAGAGTAAGGTGACACCTTAGAGGCTAACTCATTCAGAGGCATAAGTTTGCATAGGTCTACATCCTGCTTCTGATGCTGTGAATGGATATTAGGCCTGTACAAAGCAGCTAGTATTCACTTTGGATTTGGATTCAGCTGATTCGGGGGACAGTGATTCGATTTGGTGATTCAAATCGCTGTCACAAATTGATTTGCTCAAATCTGGCTGCTGCCAAATCTCTGAACCAAACACGCCCCATCCCCTGCCCGCTCTCCCAGCTCCATCAATGGTTGCCCCCCAGCCCAGCCCAGCCCCAGCATCCCAGGTCTTTAAAAAAAAAAAAAAGCCCGGCACTCCCCAGCCCCGGCCGGGCCCGGGGGGGGGGGGGCTGGTGTCGGGGGGCGCGGGGGGGGGGGGGGCCCCCCCCCCCTGGGGGAGGGGGGGGGGGGCCCCCCCCCCCTGGGGGAGGGGGGGGGGGGCCCCCCCCCCCTGGGGGAGGGGGGGGGGGGCCCCCCCCCCCTGGGGGAGGGGGGGGGGGGCCCCCCCCCCCTGGGGGAGGGGGGGGGGGGCCCCCCCCCCCTGGGGGAGGGGGGGGGGGGCCCCCCCCCCCTGGGGGAGGGGGGGGGGGGCCCCCCCCCCCTGGGGGAGGGGGGGGGGGGCCCCCCCCCCCTGGGGGAGGGGGGGGGGGGCCCCCCCCCCCTGGGGGAGGGGGGGGGGGGCCCCCCCCCCCTGGGGGAGGGGGGGGGGGGCCCCCCCCCCCTGGGGGAGGGGGGGGGGGGCCCCCCCCCCCTGGGGGAGGGGGGGGGGGGCCCCCCCCCCCTGGGGGAGGGGGGGGGGGGCCCCCCCCCCCTGGGGGAGGGGGGGGGGGGCCCCCCCCCCCTGGGGGAGGGGGGGGGGGGCCCCCCCCCCCTGGGGGAGGGGGGGGGGGGCCCCCCCCCCCTGGGGGAGGGGGGGGGGGGCCCCCCCCCCCTGGGGGAGGGGGGGGGGGTGGGGGGGGGCGGGGTTTTTTTTTTTTTTTTTTTAAAAGAGCCAGGATGCTGGGGCTGGGCAGAGCAGCCACTCACATGGCTAGGAGAGTGGGCAGGGGTCCCCCCGTGGTCCCCTTCTCCCTCTCTCCGCCCCCTACTTAGTGGCACAGAGTCCAGGTCCAGCTCATGTGGCAGCGAGCGGGGACTGCCTGAATCTCCGAAGCTCTCTGAATATTTTCTGAATTGATTCGGAGAGCTTCGAATCAATTCAGACCTTTTTACTGGTCTCCCGATTCGCTTCAGATTCGGCTGCCGAATCTCCTCCGAATTGAATCAGCACCCGAATCTTCACACAGCCCTAATGGATATGCACAGAGCAAGGGTATCAGTTAGAAAGGAATAAAGTAATTTAAATACAAAAGATAGACAAAGGGGAAGTCAAGGATAGGGGTAGGCAATGCTGATGGAGGCAAAAGTGATTTGAAGAGATCAAGAGGGATGAACAAAGCAGTTCACCCATTACAAAAGGTTTAAAACTGAGGCCAAGTAATGGAACAAGAATCCATAGTCTGTTTAGTTCACGCTTCAACCCACCTTCATCTCTCTCAGCAGTTAGTCTCTCAGGTCCCACCCTACCTCGCATTTTGAATAGTAAAAAGTAGTTCTTTTGCTCCTGCATGAAGAGGGATTATATCAGCTGCCAGCTGAACAGTTGTTCCACACCAGCATATAGCACTGAATTACTGCTGAGTAAATTAATGCCAACTACAAGGGACCTAATAGGCCTCCAATAGGTAGGTTAACTGCCATATTTACTCAAATCCATGGGACCTGAGGCTGAAGGGAGATGCCCAAGAGGTGGGGTCAACAGGCAACAGAGGTCAAGAGGCAGGGGTCAAATCCCACTTCCCCCCCTACCATATGGCTACCTCCTGCTCTCCCTGCCAACCTGCCACAGCTTTCGCACTGCAGTGCTGGGGGACAAATTTAAGATGACACTCCAATAATTAGATTCTGTATATGAAAGATTGTAACAAAATTTTAAATTGTCTATGTGTAAAATCTAATGATGTGGGGGGGAGGAACAGTCATCTTAAATTACTGATTGTTTTGGATTCAGGTAAACATTTAACAAATGTTTAACAAATGCTTCATGAATCCTCTAACCCTGTTTCTCCAGTACTTTTGTATCATGCTTTAAAATGACATCATCAGAACTTTATTTATCACCCTATTTTTAAATATTTGTTTGAAGTAGCAAATTCCTCCTGTGGCCATCTGTCAGTTCTGTTTCAGAATCATTGAACTGTTTCCTTCCATTGTACTTTTAAAATATAATACAGTCTTGCCCTCCAAACCTTCAAAACTTCAACTCAAGAAGGAATACTAGAGTGATGTCTTTGCACAAGTGGTAAACGTACGGCTGTTTAAGAAGTCTTGAAATATTTTAATATAATCATTTCTGTCACAGCAATAATTTAGTTACCTACACTTTAATTAATGTAGCTAACATCCAGTACATCAATATCAAATGTCTTGTTATTCAGCAAAAAATTATCAGCTGTTTCTGCAATTAATACAGTGCTACAAGATTTTAATGGTTTCTTTCTTTGCAAATATTTAACAAAATTGCTTTATTCAAAGAAATGAGTTGAGTTCCCTGTTTCTTTAGACCTTGGGCAGCCGAATATATATTCATAGAAAAATCTTCACTACAAATCATTTTTACAGAATGTAGGCACTCTTTCCTGTAACCAAAGAGTCTTAGCTTCGCTTAAGATAGGTCACTAGAAGCAAAAAACAAAGGAGGAAAAAAAGCTTTCTTAAGTTCTATAAATTTTATAAAACTACACAAGATTTTCAGACAGCCCATAAACACATGAAATTATGGCCATAAGTATCAGCTCCTACCTGTTCTGGTCTAAGGCCCGGTGGAACCCAAGCATATTCTTCTAAGGCACAGCCAGAATCATCATCAGATGTTGAGCTTCGTTGACACCCAAAAGTAAGATTGTTTACTTTTGAGTCCATCTCCAATGGCATAATGTAGTGCAAAGAGAAGAGCTAGATATCTAGTTGCAGTTCATGAAGCAATGATTCTGAAAAAGATTAGAAGAGTAAGTTAACAAAATTGAACAGGAAAAGCCTGCTGACTATCTCCACATATGGAAATGATGTTATGATAAATGAAGAGGTTTGGATTTATCACACTATAAATTATGCACTGTATGCTGTAAGCTGTTTGAATGCCCCTCCCCCTCCAAAAAACCCCCAACCTAGCATGTTTAGCAGCAACAAATACATGCTTCCATATTTTGCGCGCACAGTTGTTGGTTTATCTTATAGTTACATACCTAAGTAACAAAGAATTGCAATACACTGAGCAGACATTAAACACAAAAGAATGCTGCGAGTTCCTTATGCAGTCACTAGCAATTTGAGAGATGAGCACTCACAGGACAGAGTGCTCGCCCAGAATATAAAAATTTCCAGAAAAAGACTTAACTGTACAAGCTTGGTTTGTAACCAAGTAGACAATGAAGCAAGTGACAGAAGTCTAACTCAGTGACGCCCAAGGGGTGCACCATGGCACATTAATGTGCTGCAGGAGCTATGGAAGTGTGCCATGAAAAATAATACTTTTTTTTTTGTATTTAAAACATACAGCATTACATTTCCAAGCCAGAATTTGTAAGACTATTCACTCTATACAACATTTGTATATTGACATCACCCCACAAAACAATCACGGTGAAGACGCAGTGCAGCTTATACGTGTCTCTGCAGGCACTTCAACATGGTAGGAAAAAAGAAAGTTGTGTGGGGTCTCTGTTGAGTGGAGAGAGTGGTGCCTTTGTTGTAAGCTGGTACAGTGAAGTGCTTCTAAATTAATTCAAGATAATTCCTCATCTCTACAAGATAAAATTAGCCAGTCCTTGCAATCACTCCCAGCCAGTCTATATGATTGGGTGTGGAATGCATTTGTTATGGAACCACCTAAAAACACTTCCCAATTGTCATAGGAAAAAAAAGCAGCTGGCTAAGATTCAGACTGCAACCCAGACTGAAATTTGTTGAGCTACCACTGGACAAACTCTGGATAATTATTGCCAAAGTATACCCAGCAATTGGGAGCAAGGCAATAAACACACTGTTATTATTTTCAACAACATACTTGTGCGAGTTCAGATACCCATCAGTAACAAACATCAAAAACAAGAAACAAGAACGGCCTTTGTAAGTCGACAAGATGCAGTGTGCTTGTCAGTGATTTGCCCTCAATTCGATTTTCTGTGTACTCAGCATCAAGCTCTTATTTTGCACTGATACTGATGTTGTTAAATTAGAAACTAATTTATACTTATAAAAATAAAGAAGTATATTATGTCGATATTCAGTCTTTGTGCTATATTTTGCAAGTGTGTGTGTGTGTGTATTCTTTCACAATTGACCTACGGATAGATCCAACTCTACTAATGTTAGTAGTGGGTATAGACCAGCCATAAAATATGTTGCCACACTTGCTCAGAGTAGGTCTAAACAACACAGCAGTATAAATATGTGTTTAAGTAATATTACATTATTTGTCTCACCATTGCAGATATCAGTGGAATTAAACCAGTGCTAAATCACTGGAGGAAGAACAGCTAAATTATCAGGTTAGACAAGAACGGCCTTAAGCATAACATCCAACATATCCATGATATTAACTGTTGTTGTTGCAGCATGATGTTTCTCATCACAAACCCATTCCTTAGAACTAGGTGTTGTAGGTGTGTTTGTGTGAATGGCCTCCAAGTTAAAAGAATAGCAATACACACCTTTCTACATGTTATGTACACCTTCTTAAAATATACCTTTATATCACACCATTTCTTTCCAAGACCCCCAAAAAGATTAATTACTTATCTTACTTTACTGCTACTATATTACTGAAAGTTTACTTTAAAATTTTTGTTTGGGAATTAAGTTCACATCTGGCTTGAAGATTTTACACACTAATTTTAGCCCACTGCTAGCTAAAACAACTGTTATAAACTTTGAAAAATACTTTTTTATTAAAGATGCCAACAGACTATTATTACAGTGCATAGTTACACTGTAATAAAGACTACTAACATCATAAAATATTATTTCAAGTAAAACGAGCAGATTTCTCTGGCCAAGCCACCACCATAAGTGCTTATTTTCACAAATCATGTCAGGTATTTTAAAACAGATCCTCAAATTTTACTCCAGTTGTTGAAGTGATAAAATTAGCAAACATGGTTAAATTACAGCTAAATTAAATTATAGTGTGTTTTTTTTTAAGGTAAGTGAAAGAAAGCCCTATATTGGCCTTTTTGTGTTAACTGTTTCAAAGTAGCATGTGTGCCAGAAGTCCAATATATCCCAAACAACCAATAAATTTGACTTTACTTCACCCTTAACAAAAGTAAAGATGACCTCATTTCCTTTTCTACTGTTCAGAGTTTGACCTTTAAAACAAATCATTTTAACACAGGTGCAAGTCATTTATGTTTGAAGTTTAAAAAAATAATCTTTTAAATATTAGTTCCTGTCACCTATGAAAGCTCATGTCCATGTCTCTTTGAACCAGTTAGTCTCAAAGGTGTCACCCTACTGTGCTTTCTTCCATTCTTTCGGGAATGGCATGATCTCTTTCAGTCAGGCTTATTAATTTAGTGTCTACAGTTTATTGTCTCATATTACTGTTCCTGGACCACGTGATAATAATCATCTATTGAACAAGTGACTTAAAAGTATGATCATTAGATAGAACTCATTAAACTCCATTTAGGTATCTAAAATTCACAAATAAGCATCTCAGCATATACCTTTTGTACCCTAAAATATTTTTTAAAAGCAGATACTAAGAAGATAACACGATTCAATTCCAAGGTACTTGTTTTCTCAGCTTTTAGGGGAAATAAAATTACCCACTAGCATCAGAGCAAAAAATCTCAATTTTAGACTCAAGACTTTTTTCTTATTCCCATAAAACAGCAGGATTGCAACAGCCCATTGGGAGCTTACTGGTAATAGAGCTCAGGCAGGCACTAACCACAGTCATAATAGTTCTACGATCCTAGCATCGAGGCTTAATATCTCAATCCCTTCCATGAATTCAGGATGCATCCAAATAATTCTGAGCTGCTGGATGCATGCATCATATTTACTAATCTTCCATAAAAGATCAAGTTACTTAGGAAGACAAATCAGGCATCAAATGTGCTGCTTTAGAATACCCTTGTTTGGAACAAGATAGATTTAAAAAGGAGGAGAGAGAGAGAGAGAGAGATGCTAATTATGTGAAACGTAACCTGAAATTTCTCCTCATTTTGCTACCTTATATACCTCAAGTATTTGCCAAAGTCTTGTCTTTCAAACCTGAATTCAGCTATGACCCATGAAAAAGGAGTCACAAACTTTGGTAATGTTTTATTAAGCAATTAGTGTTGGACAGAAACACAGAAAAGTAAACTCTAAACTGTAATTTAACTTCCTTGGCTCTCCAGATACATTTTAACACCACTTGCAGTGGTGGGATGTTGACAGCCCTTGTCCCTCTGCATTACCCGTGGAAGGTTAGGGTGCTTTGGTATTGGTTCCCATAAATAAACTAGAGTGCGCGCATGCACACGCACACACTCACAGACACACTGGCCCCCATAAGAGGAAACATTATAAGTATTTCTGCTGTTCAGCATTGTTTTTTTTGTCCCTCCAAACAACGTGGTACTGCAAAGTTCCCCACACCTACTCTGCAGTGGTGAAGTTCAGCAACAAGCATATCTACGTTTTAAACCAATTCTACTGTTTCAATAATATAGCACCAGGGAAGAAGAGCAACTCAACATTGGTGGCTCTTGTACAATAACCAGATCCTTGGGGGCTCTGTACATAGCTATTCTGGCATGTAGGCAATGTTCTGAAATTGATAAGCAGTTTTCTAGAACTGTAAAAGATAGTGGTTTGTGGCAATTGCCAAAATCTGCTTAGTGCCCACTACTAATTCCTCTAGAAGGAGAAATGTCATATTGGTATGGAAAACCTCAATACCTTTTCTTTTGGGCCATCCATGCAGATCATCTTAAAATATTAACCAGGAGGGAGAGAACGCCAGATAACCACAGACAAAATTCACATTTCAAGTACAACTATTTTCATCAAGTTCAAGCCAATGGAACTGTTCCTGGTGGTGGCTCTACGCTGTTTTTACCCATGCTTTGTGGACAAGACAATCCTATTCAGAAGAAACGAATTGCCTCCAGGAGGGAGGGAGTTTTTAGCAAGGCTGTTATGAATAAAGTGGAATTCTACTGTGTTAAATTGCTCCAATACCCTGAGTAAGAGTCCAGTATTATGTTATGCACACTGTTGATACTTCAGCACAGAATTTCTAATATCTGTTACCAGTCTGCCCCGCACCCACCACCAGAGGGGGTGGATGGAGGGGGCAGGTGGGATCTCCATGGAGACCGGCCTGGGACCCCCACAGGCAGGACATGCTTGGCCTGGTGGATGTGATGGAGCTGCAGGAAACTACAGCCCTTGGTAACTTATGATTTTCAAGTGTGCCAAGGATATGTAAATGTACCATTTACATCTAAAGGGAAGTTAAGACTCTGGGGCAGTGATAAATTGGAGAGGCTAAAAGAAGAGAGCCCTATAATCATAGATAGGTAGGGTTGGAAGGGACCTCAGTGGATCATCTAGTCATTTAGTTCAACTCTCCCGCCCAAGGCAGGATTATTCCTTTCTAAACCATCCCTATTCTTAATAAATTTTGGGAACAACCTTCACACACAGGTACCAGGCATAATGCCTAAAAAAAACTTACACACCTTATCTTGCAACTGGTAAAACAGCAGGATGATGAAGGTACTACCAACATCCTGCCACTGCAAGGAAAGGAAGTAGGTCATGGTGGGCAAAATACAGCCCATGTGCTGGATCCAGTCCACCAACGAATTTTATCCAGCGTGGTCCCTCAGCTTCTCTTGCAGCAGGCGTGGCAGACAGCCCAGGCCATGGCTCATGTGCTGGTCCTATTGCCTCCAGGTGCGCAGCAGGGCTAGGGCAGCTTGATAATGAA